TTCTTGGAATCAATGTTACCGCACTNTAAAGTGTCGCGATAACTTCCAAGTTAATCCAGTCTATTACTTCACAATTAATAATACTCTAGCAATACGGCTATGCCAGCATTATGATTTCAGAAATTAATCCATCATTGCAATGATTTACAAAGGTAACAGCGCAATCAATTTGATAAATTGATTCGTCATAGCTACAAGCATCATACTTCAGCAATTTAGATAACATAAATGTGATGGAGAATTCGAAGAGTCAGATAATGTGGTTTTAGTTGCCATGCAGAGAATTGCACAAGGAGCTTAAGAAAAGAGGATACTTTATTGTAGATAGTAACTAGGTACAGTGTGATAATTACGGTAGGTCAGCGTGGTAGCTGCCGTGAGTAAAGCGTGAATACTAACTATGACTAATAATCCAACTTAACAAATCTAAGGAAGAACACGGCAGTATTTATAGCTATGGCTTTAGAACACATGCAGAGAGCATGATTGTAGAATTAGATACAACAGATACCGTAACAGGTTATAGAATAGCAAATGATTGTAGAAAATAGCGAGGACTACAATAACTAAACGTAGTAAGCCATACTTGAATGTAGAGCGAACAGACTGTAGATATGTCTAAATATAAGATCAATACAACATGTCTATATTTAAGAGTAGAATATAGTTACAGTATATTCTAAATACACTACAATAAACAAATACATAAAAATGATACGGTAGTATCTTTCAGTGGCATAGTATGCAATATAATTAGTATTAATATACGTAACATTTAAGGTACAATAGTTGGGAATCTCTCATTATCGCCTAATTTGTTATTTATAAATTCTACTAAATATTCGGCTTCGTCTTCGTTGTAATAATATAAAATGCTTAGAAATTCCTTCATAGGCTCCAAACCGCCTACAATGAGAACATCCAATAGCTTTCTCTCTTGCCTAAGTTAGAAAATTCAACATTATATGTATGATAACTTCCTAATTAGCTGTTGCTTATATGAAACATTTAGAATAATTTCAAAGATTAACATACTGTACAACTTAGATCTGATCTAGATACAGTATATAGTCACTACTACGGACGCAGCGAATCTACGCATCCACAAAATTTCTACCTCCGATTATATAATCCGCGCGGAGCTGCATAGCTAAATAATACGGAAAGCGGATCTGTAACAATTATTGACTGACTGGACCGTGAGTACCATAGAGGTAAGAAGAAGAACATCAAATACAGTTCTATACAGTGTACAGTATAGTACAGGACATTATAATGCACTGCATACAGAATTGTAATCAGGTTATGTTCGGAGCAATAAATAATCGGAAATTAATTAATTAACTTACTCTTTCATATCTGAGCACTTCTTTATTTCTACGGCTTGTGTTTCGTTGATCGCAGACTCAGAGCATAGTTTGCTAGCAATTTCATTGCATTTTGCAGTATATTGAAGCTTATCCACGAGACGAGCTCTAAGTACTGTGAATGTTTCATAAAAGGCCTTGGACTGCCTAGTCAAAGATGCAGCTTCTTCGCAGTTGTCACACTACATTTGTACAAGTAAATTGCATATGTTCGATCAAGACAATTATCAGCATTAAATAATCTTACTGGTTGCAAGATTTATGGTGCACGTTAAACATGGCTTTAAAAGAGAGCGAGCATTTACCTGGTTGCGATAGTATCCCAATTGAACTATTTTTAAACGCCTCAATATTGATATGAATGATCCCATGATTGCCAACTTCCAAGTATAAGAAAATTAGAACGCAAAATTAGAGTAGTTATTTTAACAAACGTATAATATTATAGATTTTTAGATTTTTTTGAAATTATTATTTATTTATTTATCAAGTGATTGATTAACTTTACTGTACTGTACTGTACAGTACATAACGTAATTGTGCCCGTTTCATTTAAAGTCCTGCAGGTCGGTGACGCAACTCTACAGTACTGTACTCCTGCGAAGCAGATACTGTACTGTACTGTACAGTAGAGAACTTTGCGTTTAATTTGATTTTATGATTAAACAAGACTATGTAAAGGGAAAATGTAGATGTCAAGTGAAAATGTAACTCAAATGCTATGGAATGTAACAACTTTAATCAGTATTTGCTTATTAAGATCACTGCTTGATGCTTTTCAAAGTGACAAAATACTTTGAAACACACTGTACAGTATACAGTACAGTACAGTAGTAGTGTACAGTACTGCACTGTACTGTACTGTACTGTACAGTATGTTATTGTACAGTACTTTACCATCGATCTACTGTACAGTGTACACTGTACAGTATGCTCCCCTAAGTCCCCCCCACCCAATTCTTTTGTTATATATGAACTATTGATAGGATTGCTTTGATTAATTTGCATATAGTAATAGACATATTGTACTTATACAATATCGAAGGAATGAAGAGCGAGCAACATGTGTAAATAAACCGTTAAATATTAATCGCCATTGTTAATAACTGTAGTACAGTATATTTATATGTTATTGTTATTTACTATCGATGAACTACCCAAACATAACGCAATCAAGTAGTGCTTGTCTCTAGGCCAACAGACCTTACTCCACATACCTGTCTTTTGTGAATTTTACAATGCATTATAATTACTTATAATTATCGGTACTATCGGCAAATCTTTTTTAATAGTTTATAAGGAGTCATACTATTTGTAGCATGTTACTTAAACTACCAGAATATCCATTCTACGATATTTACAGCCTTTTTCACTCATTTGATTCTTTAATCTTGAATTTAAATTTTAATTTAATTTTTAATTTAACTTTAATTTTTGATTTAATTTTTAATTATCGTGCTATAGGCAAATGTTTTTTAATATTCAATTTAATTTTTAATTTAACCTTAATTTTTGATTTAATTTTTAATTATCGTACTATCGGCAAATCTTTTTTAATATTCAATTTAATTTTTAATTTAATTTTAATTTTTGATTTAATTTTTAATTATCGTACTATCGGCAAATCTTTTTTAATATTCATTTTAATTTTTAATTTAATTTTAATTTTTGATTTAATTTTTAATTATCGTACTATCGGCAAATCTTTTTTAATAGTTTTTAAGGAGTCATACCAATTGTTGCTAGAATGTTACTGAAACTATCAGAAATACTCGCATCACAAATAAAGTGCAAATTCAAAGTATTGACTTACCAATCTAGGTAGTTCCGTTCAATGTAAGAGCTAGTGAAGAACTGTGAGGCCAAATGATCAATAGACAACTTTCGATCGTACTTATACTATACAATATCAAAGGCATGAAGAGTGATCAACACGTGTCAAGTATTTATCGCCAATGTAAATAACTGGAGTACTGTACAGTACTGTATATATATGTTATTGTACTATATTCATCGATGTATGCTCCCCTAAGTCCCCCACCCAATTCTTTTGTTATATATGAACTATTGATAGGATTGCTTTGATTAATTTGCATATGGTAATAGACATATTGTACAGTACTTATACAATATCGAAGGAAAGAAGAACGAGCAACATGTGTAAATAAACCGTTAAATATTAATCGCCATTGTTAATAACTGTAGTTCAGTATATTTAACGTCATCTGGGCATAAAGAGCTATTAATTGTTATTGTACTTTACCATCGACAAACTACCCAACCATAACGTAATCAAGTAGTGTTTGTGTCTAGGCCACAGACAGACCTTACTCCACATACCTGTCTTTTGTGAAATTCCCCTTGGTCCCAAACATTACTTTAGTGCTATATTTTTTATATATGAACTTTTTTTAGGATTGCTTGGATAATGGGACCGTTTTTCATGCTAATTTGCATATTCAAATGCTTCAAGAAGGCCAATCTATATGAACCTTCTCTATTCGTATTCGTCAACATTGAATAGATAGTAATATGTTTTTAAATATTACAAATGATACAGATTTTGACATTCTCATTCCTTGGAGCTATTAAAGCGAACAACTTGACATTTAAATGGCAAAAAGTGGCTGAGTAATTACCATGGTTTTTATTGTAATTGCTATTTCGTATTCATATGCATCCACTGTGAATAAAATAGTAGGATATATTTTGAAGTCCTACAAATTATACAGATCATGCTTTCCTCCCCATCATAGGATACTGTTAAAACACTAACAGCGGATAGCAATAGAAATCTTTTATGGAAGAGCAGTATTAATGCTACTTTAAAGTGTAATTTTGTAATTAAAACAGAATTAGTAAAATTTAGAAATTTGTGAAGTCTAGCTCATTAGACTTATATAGTGTCTAATGAAATATCCACAATGGCATATCTTGAACAATCTTATATTATAGCATTTCTGAATTTTAATCAGCATGTAAAGTCCAATGCAAACTGTTACTGTTATTACCTACTAGTGTAATATTTAAATCATCTCTATAAATTATCCAGCAAATATACGATTTCTAAATTATTTTATGACGGTACTGCAAAGCTAGTACATAAGTATACAGTCATGAGTTTAATGATATTTATTCTAGACTGTACATTACTCAAGAATGAAGTCACAATTATAGACATAATAAGAGATGAACTATAGATCATCAAATTTATCTGTATTGTTTCTTCAGCTCAAAGAACAATAGATTGTTACCGTCTCTAGTTGAGAGCATTGGCAGCTGAGATTCCTGTTGAACTTGTCGCGCTAGATCTAAAGAGTAGTAATTCTATGTATCAGTTATTTATACTAGCACTGATTGCATTTTCATAGTTAAAATGTATAGTATCATATCAACCATTTTTATATAGAATAACGAGTATTGTGAAATGATAATTAATTTGATGTTAATCAAGTCAGATATGCACAATAAGAGTAAAAAGCTGATTATGAAGTAAATTGTCAATGTGTTCATTTTCTTTTAACGTATTGCTTTGTGCCGATTGCCTTCAAATTCATTTCAAAGGGTTATTTACTAGTTATGTTAATCTACAGTTAGGGATTATACCAATTTTACAATGGATAGTCCTATCATGGACCTTATTGACCACTACAAATCCATAACGATTTCTATTCATTGCTACTCTCTTCTCCTATTAATTAATCATAAACTAGCAAGATGAAACAAGACATATAATACAGTACATGGTGTCTACTGTCTAATCAAAAGTCCTTGGATACTCTTATAGATCTCTTCTACTGCATAAACATTCCAGCTGAAGCAATAACGTAACCTAATTTCATAGTGAACCATTCTGCAATCAATAGCAACGCACTTACTTGCATACTTTTAGCACCATGTCCGAGAAGATATCTACTGATGCGACACTGGCGAGAGAGTCTCCATCTTCTAGAAGCACACCAAAAGCTTGCACACGGAATCATTTTGGACGCAGCACTCTTCAGTTAACTTTGCCAAGGCATGGATCACAATGAACTATCCAACTTGTAAGTTCTACTTTGCAGATACGTAATAGGAGATGGTGTTACTTCCAGTGCATACAATTCTTGCCTGATCTTTCTTTCAATTTCACTCATGCCGTCATCGAGAAAAGCCGAAATTTTCTATACATCATTCGAGCATCATCATCCATGCCTAGAGCATCATAAACAAGTTCAATATTGCTATATAATGTCGAAATTTAATTTTAATACTGCTAAGTAGTTATAGAATGTATGATAAAATCGTAAGAGTATTCCATACCTCGATTCTTGAAGATTTTGATAGCTTGGGTCATAACAACAGTAGAAAATCTCAGGGTCGATTATTTTCCAGGGTATCAATATAGAGTTTTATCACGGGGAAGTAAACATAACATATAATCTAAAGAATTATTATTAGAACCAGAAGGAGAAATCCACATTTCCACTTTAGCAGCAATTACAACAGCGTGATCACACAACTGGAACATTTCATCCCTGAACACAGGTTGAGATCCACCGATAGCTGGATCAGGATCAAATATATTAGTAAGCGATACACAAGCAAATGCTACATTCTGATTCAATCTGGGGTCGAATTGTCTGACGAAGGCGTACGTGAGTTGGACGCGTTCACGCGCAGGAAACGGACCGCGTACAGTTCCAACAGGACCATTAAACTTTGCAGTAGCAGTACCAACACGTTTTCGACGGTAGTTCCGACGCTTGAACTTGTTGCCGGACTTCCAAGTACGTCGGCGAGGACTGTATTGTTTTCGAGCATATCTTCTCACGGCCGTCATCGATTAGTGACCGATCCGCTTAGCAAGTTTTGAATGTCACCCTCCGTATACATGGAATGTAGACATACTCGAATAAAATGCCTTGGTCAGCTCAATTTATACTGTACTTTTAAACCACCATCACGAGATGTATAGGTTATAATTTTACGCCTTGTTATTGAAAGCTAGGCAAGTTTGTTTCTAAATAAAAAGTAGCGTACAAACTGTAGCCAATAATGTTCAGGCAGTGATTATGACGCTATTAATGCAGCATTCTATTCCGTAGTAGCGAATAAGCGACTGGATCTTTAACCTTTGAGCTATTATGTGTAAGTTCTAGACATAAAAGAGATTGAGAATAGAACAACAGTACTGTACTACGCCCTTCATTGTTTCATCCGACCTAAATATGATTTCTGTCATGCGCACTACTAAATGTGATTTCTGTATCGCGTATAAAAGATTTACAGCAGGGGCTATCTAATATATACCTTTCAGGCACCACGCGATAACTATACCGCGTTACACTGAAAGGTATTTGATTGGATAGAAGTCTATACTTATGTCTGTCTGTGTTACGCTGAAAGGTTTTTGATTGGATAGAAGTCTATACTTATGTCTGTCTGGGTTACGCTGAAAGGTTGTTGATTGGATAGAAGTCTATACTTATGTCTGTCTGCGTTACGCTGAAAGGTTGTTGATTGGATAGAAGTCTATACTTATGTCTGTCTGTATATATTTTGTAATGGGGTATATAAGCTTTGCACCGATGGGTCGCTGGGCAATACTATTCCAACGGTGCTCGCTATGGGAAAAGGATACTGTTTAACTCTTTTTGTTGGACAATTTGACTTAGCCTCTAAGATAAAGACAAAAGACCAGTGGATTATTGGTAGAGAAATATGTCCGACTACTGGCAAAGAACACCTACAATGTTATTATGAAACTAAATGTAGATCTGACCTAAAAGCTCAAATTAAGCAGTTCAAACCTGCTCATGTTGTAAGAGCTCGTGGAAGCAGAGAACAGAATATTAAATATTGCAAAAAAGAAGGAAACTACGAAACTAACATGGAAATAAAAGAAGACATGCCTCCTATTGATAGGATTATCCCTAAGAAGCATGAATTATATTCATGGCAGAAAGATGTATTGGATTCTATGCTTGCTCAAAATGATCGTCAGATTCTGTGGATTTATGATCAAAAAGGAGGAATTGGAAAAACTGCATTTGCATACTTTTTAATTGAAAACTATAACGATGTGATTTATTTAAATAATGCTAAATGTTCCGATATTGCTCTAGCTACTGATATTAATATTAAAATTATTATTTTCGATTTTTCTCGTTCATTACAACACAGAATTAATTACACAATTTTGGAACAGTTAAAAAATGGTATTTTATTTTCACCAAAATATAACAGTAAAACAAAAAAATTAAATTATGTTCCAAGAATATTATGTATTTCTAATTATGAACCTGATTTATTTCAATTATCTGAAGATAGATGGATTATTAAAAATTTAACTAAAACCTAAAACTTTAGGCTCAATAAACACAGCAGTATAATTAACTCTTATTTGTCCCGTTATTATATCGGGATTAATATTACTTTGAGGATTCCAAAATGCCATTTGCAAAAATGCATTTTCCTGAGGACCAGCATCTGAACTATTTTTTAATTTAGGGTCGAATACAGGGCTAGTTCTACCTAAAAATTTATTAGGATTTATTCTATAACAGAAGTAATCTTTGCCTTTCGAACTATTTACTCTATATACAGCTGCATATTTTTGACATATTAATTCGTTGGGATTAGCGGTAACTACACCATCATTATCACCGGTAAGAAGGCATATCATATAGTCCAGTGAGTTATTATTATATGATATTATCCATTTTATGAGATGATGATCGTATGAAGAAGGTAGTATAACAACGATTTCGTAATTCTTTCTAGATGCAATATATTTGTTATTGCTACTCAAAGTCAAAGAAATAAAGGTCAACCTTACCATACTGTCGTTTAAAGCAGAAATATCTAAATTATAATAATAAATATATATATATGCACTTCTACTGATGATTAATTATAATCGTTAACATTGTACTGCAGTAACGTCGGAATTTGAATCACGGGATTTTTGATTGTTAACTTTGCTACTAGCCAATCCCAATGCATTTGACACGTGCTTATTTCATAGCAGTTCCTTTTGATCACTTCTACGTTGTTAAATAGTAACAGAACCTTTCTACCATTAAAGCACTACCAGTTAACAAAACAACTTTTTAAATGTTAATATTATCCAAATGAGAAATTGTAAGATTAATTTTTTTTCTTTATAGTTAGGGAAATAACTGTATGTACTACATGATAAACTGTATAATATCTTCAAATATATATACATATATATGTACTAGGATAGATGTAGTACTGTTAGTCTTGACGAATAGATTGCCTAATCATAAATAAAAATACGTGAAGGTACTAAATAATAGGTTGTAGAATATCATTCCAGTTTAAAGTATAAGTAAATAATAGAGCGTTAACTGTAGATTTTTCTAAGTAGAAACTGTGTAATAGTCTCTAATATGCTTAATAAATTGTTGCTAGTGGCCATGTGTGGCGTTATTACTCGTCAGCATTAATTCGCTATGTCGTTCAGCACTATAAAATTGGATATAAATTTTTATTTAGCCCATTCTATAAGTCATAAACTGATGGAGTTTCATGTATGGAAAATACCTCGCAATCAACATCTCAGTGTGCGCGATTACCGCAGACATGCATTAACAACATTGCGTAATGTTTTTAGTCCGTAACGCGGTAACGATAGATTGCCAGCGGGTGGTACAGTATGGGGAGGGGATTCCATGGTACTGTACTGTAGGTTTACCCGCAAACTCGTAAATCTAGTCAAATCCTGTTAAGAAAGTACTGTACTGTACAGTAGAATAGGTAGCATAGTTTATTTAAACTTTTTTATTTTAAAGTTTAATACAGTATCTCTAATTTAAAATAAAGTACGAAACCTACGGTTTTAAAGTTATCAGATTATGATAGGTTATTTATTACTCTACATTTCAGTAGATTTTCTGGGCAAATTACTGCTCGATTTGGCAATGCTAATTTTAAATTTGTGCGCTGGGATAATTTAGGGACACCCTCCCTGTATTAGGTTGATGGAGAGATTCTGAAAGATCTGAATCAGGTAAAGTTAGAAAGTTAAACTTGCTCTTAAGTCTATAAATAATGAAAGTATCACTGACCATTATATCCCCAATTACGTACGATCGACAGTACTGTACACTAATAAAAGTTCTTAGCGTGAGTCTGACTGCAAGGTACTGTACTGTACTGTACTGTAGAGTACTGTACAATAGAAGAAATTGGCGGTTCAATAAAACGGCGCCAAATAAATTCTTTACATGTTTTAGCGCGGTCTGACTATGTTGTAAGTAGAAAATTTTTCTTACCGAACGGCCAATAAAAACCGGTAAAACTATGATCTGATACACTTAAGGAAGCACATAGCCGAAATTTATGGAATATAGCCATAATCGTAAGTACTTCAGCCTCAGCCTCAATACCGCATTCACGATCGACATCACATTAAGATTACAGTTATCGTATGATCGACCTAGTTTATTTTGTCAACCGCCTACTGTACTGTATCAGATGATAAATATGTAAAAGTACAAGTGATCAGCATTGATGTTCTTCAGTTGCAAAACAGTGACAACTCGCATAAAAAGGTATTAATAACATTCATTTGCATGAAAATTTAGTAAATTGACTGTAAATTTAGACACTTTGTAAATACACTCCGAAGTCATTGATAATCATAATTACTTGAATTTAGAATTATTCAATTCATTAATGAAACAAAATTCATGTTACGCTTCAACCAATTAATTGACTGAGCTAACAGCATTGTTCTCTAGAAAAATGACTACTCATAAATAGCGATCAGAACAGATTTTGCGGTACTTGTCTGTATTTGATCAGTAGCCTTTTTACTCGTCTGATTCTTTAAACTAAGTCATCGATATAAAATCTGGATTATTTTTTCGCTTAACGATCAGTCAGTAATGCCTTACAAGTATATATATCACTGAATAGTTAGCAATGCAAATGAGCTTTGACGTCTTTGCGAAAATGAAGAATAGATCATACTGGCGACAAACTCTTAATCAACAGCAAGTACTATAGTTTCATTTGATAGTGTTAATTTGTGAATCTTACCGTACATAATTACCGTACTATCGACAAAATCTTTTTATTAGTTTTCAAGGTGTCATGCCATTTGTAGTATGTCTGCGAATAATTTGCCTGTGAAATTCACTCATTCCAACCGCGTTTACGTTGTGTTCAGGAAGACCCCCAAGCATAAGTGGTTGTATTTGTACCTGTTTCACCTGTCGTATAAACATGGAACAATACCAAACTTTAATATCATAAACGGAATCCAATTATCATATTTTAATAGTAGACAGCTTTAACGTTGGCAATACCATCTCAGGAAGACAAATACGAATGTCTCCCATTTCTGCCATCAAGGTGATTGTGATCAAACGCTTTGATCGTTGATAAAAGTAGTCGTGCTAGTAGATATCAGCTCCTGCAATAGGATGATAGGATGTTTATCAATTAAACCGTTAGTGTAGATCCTCTATGAATTTATTTCCAGTATTGTACAGTTCACCATTTGTGATATCTCGAGGTAAGAAACAAAGATCAACTTTAAAATGGTTGAAGAAAATTTTCATTACTCAAATTAAATCTATGCTTTTCTACTGGTATATTTGCATAAACTACCCGTATTATCTGCTTAATAAAATTGTAGCATGTATGAGCTCGGTATTGTTATTACTCATACTGGCGTATCGTATTAATAACAATTTGAAAGGAAAAACTTGATTAAATGATTTAATTAGATTAAATTTGTACTTCACGTTTATTTTATCCCATCTGACTATAAAGTATGCTGCATGGTATAATACTGTTGATGTAGTTATACTATTTATAGCTTGAATAATAATAATTGCAATTACATAAATCAAACTTGCTGACGATGATGACTAATTAATTATCAATATACTCATTCACTTGCTAACTGATGGAAGATATCGGCATAATATGATGAACTATCGTTGAAAGAGTTGCCAGCAGGACATCTACCACACCCCATTGAATTGTCAACACACTAACCAATCGTGGACGAATTATTATTCCAGGTATTATTAGAAAGAATCTACGATGCACTCTGTATTTGAAGTAAATTATGCCTTTAATTAGTCGGGCATTATGGGATCGAAGGAGGATCGATGACAATCCAAATATTTCTACAAAACTTTTGTGATGCTAACTTTTCTTTCGCTACGCATTCCATGCGTAATTTGCAGCAATAATTATCTATACAATTTAATTATTATGCAGTGAACAATGACATGAAAATGGACTTCATGAACGGATTGTTTCGCTATAGAAATTAGAGAAAAAGACTCGTAGACGTTACTGCACTTAGTTACTATAATAATTGCGTTGATTATTTTTAACTCGAAGAAAGAAATCGATCTGTATCGTCCTTAAAGTGTATCGTAAATGTATAATGTATTCGCTAGCCTATTGTGCTACTATAAGGAAAACTGGAATTACAATGACCCTTGTAGTTATGTGGCTATGACAAGGATTTCAAACTGGACTTTGGAATTACGGCAGCCCAAGTAAACAAAACAGATCTGAGTCAAGCTTGTTCTGTTTTACTATTTGAAAAACAGACTGATTACTATAAAAGTGACATTGGAATACTTTTGTACTACATTAATTGCCTGTAAGTGATAAATAAAATCAATTCCAATTTTTCAATTACCGCCGTGCGCGATATCATTTATCGCTTATGTCCTCTATTTTTTGATGAATAAGGTTGTATTGATGATTTTTTTACTGCCCTTTCATATTTTCTTTATGAGCAGTTTGGGCATTTATTTTTACGGAAAACATTAAAAAGAATATCAAAATATCGCAAAGGTTAAAGCATTTATGAGCACTTTTCTTTCGGAACATGAAATTGTTGAAATTGTTTACAATTTCATGATCTCATACTAGAGTGCTTTAGAAATAAGATATCGTGAACTACTAGCTATGCACTTACAATTCTAATACTTAAAGTTGAACTTACCGATAAGGAAAACTCTTCCGATTTGTAGTGTAACCAGTCTTTTTTCCTCGAATTGCTGACATTCAAAATTTGCAAAATGGATCGGTCACTAAAATATGAATGGACCTCCGTATACATGGAACGTAGACATACGCGGATAAAAAGCCTTGATTAGCTCAATTTATACTTTTAAACCACCATCACGCGATGAATACAGTAGGTCATGATTTTACGGGGTTGTTATTAAAGGCTAGGCAAGTTTGTTTCTAAATAAAAAGTGGCGTACAAACTGTAGCCAAGAATGTTTATACAGTGATTATGACGCTATTTTCGACAGGAAAGTAGATGAGAGATATCCTAACTACAGTATAATGCAG